TTCCTTTTGCCTGTTATTCGTGGGAAATGACGTTAAACATCGGCCTCAGTATGTTATTCGATGACATATAGGACTGGAAAAGTATATGGGAGAAATGAAGAGAAGCTATTACGCCCATTACATCTGTTCTACTTCCATTTGTGACCTATTTCCTGACTCTCCCTCGCAGATGAAAGGTTATAAATGACAAATTCTAATGCTTCCCTCTGAATTCTTAACACATGTTACTGCAGTCTGTGTGTGTGTGTGTATGTGTGTGTGTGTGTGGTTTGTGTATTAGAACTCACTGTCTTGAAGATGGTTCCAGCAGGCTTACGCTGCCTCACATCTGGAAGTCCGTGATCCTCACGAGGAACGCTCCTGATTCTGGACCTCAAGGATTTAATTGATCGGCCATCTTAACTCAGTTCTTCGTAAGTCGCCATTTTATGTTGAGATAGAGACTCGAAACTTGCTTCGGTATGTATGTTATGTGTCTCTCTCAGCTTATCCATTCTGAAAACATGTGACGATTTCGGCCAATCACAGCTCAGCAAATTCACCGCTTTACCACGCACTGAAATTTACATTCCTGGAAGCGACATAGCCGGAATAACTGGATGTTTGACGGGTGCCTTCGGTAGGGAAATGAATGAGAACAGTGAAGAATGCTGGATATGGGCTTCTCACAGCAGTAACTATGAAGAGTGGAATCTCCTGGGATGTGACGCCGTGTAGTCCGGTAGAAATTCATGAGACCCTACTCCATAAGTACAAAGGAAACGGCACTCGCTGTGTTAAGGTTCCGTCAAGCTTTTCTATATTTGAATGACATATGGAGGAGAAAATGACGTTTATTTACACAGCAGAAGCGCGCCGTCACTTGGCGGGATCGGCACGGACACGCGATACATTTCAGCCCCTCAGAAGTCGGGAGTGGCGCGAACCTTCAGGACCCAAGCAAAGGAGAAGCCGCAGTAGGAAAGTAAAAAAAAAAAAAGTGTGTAATATTTTATTTTCCGAAAACAAACATATATAGATATACTCGTATTGTCTGAAGTAAGAATAGTCAGAAAGCGTTTACTCGTAAATCAGTTTGTGTTTATCTCGCAAATAAATTTTAAAGGACGGTGAAATGACATTTACACGGAAATTGTTAGTACGGAAACTCGCGATATCGAGGGCACAGTAAACAGTTTTAATGAAATTCAGTTTTATGGCGCTACTTTACGGCCCCGCATATCGCCGTGGACTTGCGCAGTGCTACCTGCGCAGAGACGCAGCAACGTAGCACATCCTATTCGCTATAGACTACACCTAGAGTCATCCAGGACGAGAAATCTTGTAGCCTAGCAGAGCGTTAGTAAACATTCTTCTTCGTGGAGGAAGCTTAGAACAAAGCGGTTCCGGTATAGCCTGTACACAGACCAATAGGAGAAGGTAGCACTAGGAACTGACCAATTAAACTGTTTTCATTCCCTACGTTATAACCGCCTCTTTCCACTCCCGTCGGAGTTTTCTGACCTAAATAGGGAATCGTACTTCGTAGGGATGACAGATGAAGTGTTCGAAAAGATTTATAAGAAAGCGACTGTAGCCTGATCGGAGTAATAACCCAGTATTTACGGGTAAGGACTGAGGAAAACTACGGAAGTCTCAATATTCGGTGCCCCAACCGAGAAACTGTCGAATACGAGTCTAGATCGTCAAGTCTACACCAGAAATTCAGGGCGTCGGTAAATGATCTGCCAGACTACACGGTGTCACATAAGATAAAAATAAAGATTGTAGTTTCCTGAGTTCCAACGTCATGTAATTCGGAGAGCCCGACATTTAGGAGGAACATACCGCCTCCATCTTCAGCGACGATGAATAAACAAAGCGGGAAACCAACAGAAGTGGGCATCAAACTGAACTTTCCGCGACCTGCACGGGGTTACAAATCAGAAGACAAGAATCCTCATAATCCCCGCACTGAGAAACTCAATTCTCACACGCACGCATATTAGATGGCCAGTACAAGAAATATGGCATGAGGTAATGTGACGTCACGCAGCTCGCAGCACGACGCGTCCAACAATCTCTTTCCGCTGAAACTGAGGCGCCGTGCTGCAGCGGCAACTTCTCCGACACTTCCTTCGAGCAGGTAGCCTGACGGCAGAAATGCAGGCGTAACACTACACTTCGTTACATATTTTCGTACTTTCTTTGCATAAGACGGAGGTCGTGCGTACCCGACCACGCATTTAGTAGCCAGACCTACCAGAAGAATTGGTTAAAATCTGATGCGAGGGAATTTGTCCTCACAGTCATCAGAGAAATCTAAATTTTTCGTGCACTTCTCAGGCGTAATCGCTGCTTTACATGAAGATTATTTTTATTATTTTATTTTATTATTTTTTTAGATTTTAATACATAAAATTCGGAGCGATCCATCGCCAATGTTTACGGCTTATGTTAAGGAAAACTGAGCAGGTTACATCAGGCGGTAACGCTTCTGATTTTTATTCCTGTTCGAATCTTAGCTGTAGTACCGATTATGCTGACAGGATTTTCTGATCTTACTCAGACCCTCTGGGCGAATGTGCGGTACAGTAAGAGACTATGACCGCTTCCTTCCATGCCCTTTCCAGTTCATCGTTCATAAATTATCCCACAATTTGACGGTAAATAAGCTCAGCTGCTGATGACATCGCCAAGTAAACCATAAGTAAATAAGTGAAGAAAGTATGAATGGCAGATCCTAAACTTTGCCTACGTAATATTAATATTATCAGATTCATATATTTTTTTCCGTGCGACAACTAGCTCTGAAGTTATGAACTCTAGCTCAGGTGTAGCTGGGTGTTTGAAGCAGCTGGCGACTAAATTTTACGGTGATTAACTTGTAAATATATTTTTAAAAGTAAGGCACTATCAAAAACAAAATTACCGAATTTACATTCCATTTCCAATCCCTACTGCATAGAACGTACACTGCATCTCAATTTCAAATACCAGTCAGTTAATTCTATGAAGACTGAAAATCTTCTGAACAATATATAAGAATTCAGTCCGTACCTCACAGGAAACACATTACGTCTCCGCTACAAAGCAAAACCGGTTAATGCTGTTTAGGGAAACAGTCGCTGTTTATTGTGAGACCAATACGGAACACACAGCTACACTCTGTGGGCAGAATGCAGTATATATAAGAATTCAGGCCTTACCTCACAGGAAACACATTACGTCTCCGTTACAAAGCCCAACCGGCTAATGCTGTTTAGGAAAGCAGTCGCTGTTTATTATGAGAACTACACGGAACACACAGGTACAACCGGTTACTGCTGTTTAGGGAAACAGTCGCTGTTTATTGTGAGAACCATACGGAACACAGATACACTCTGTGGGCAGAATGCAGTATATACAGGGTGTCCCAGGAGGAATGTACCAAACTTCGGGAGGGTGTTCCTTATGTTAAAGTATGCCTATATAACCCAAAACACCTATGTCCAAAGTTGAACGGTTACGGAGATAATGGCCCGAGAAAAGCGTGTTCTTCTGGCGGGTCCAAGCATTATACCTGTCAGCTGAGACGTCTTATCTATGTTTGTTCTTGAGTGTGGTGATTCATACTAGCCGTAAGCTCCCTTCAGTATACGTTGCGGCCGGGTCGTGAATGGGTGGTAGATTAATTGTGCGGAGTTGCTGAAATGCCTTTTGTGTTTTCACATGTGGAATACTGTGATATGCATTTTGTGTGTGGATTTTGCGGTGGCAATGCACGTGCTGCTGTTGACGAATACCAAAGGCGTTTTCCCGATCGAAGAATTACATGTCGAAGTGTATTTATGCGAATTCACCAGACATTGCGTGATACTGGTTCTCTTCCGAGTGTTTCTGTGCACTCTGAAAGGGAGGATGTACGAATGAGAAACACACGGGAGAACGTTCTTGAGATGGTTCAGAGAAGTCCGCGTCTGTCCACTCGTAGAATGGCCTGTCGCATCGGCGATCACGTATGCAGATGTGGCGAACTTTACATGATGAAGAGTTGTATCCTTACCATGATCAAAGGGTACAACATCTGGAACCAGGCGACCATGCACAGCGTATGGATTTGTGCCACGGGATAAAAGCTCATCCCGAACTGTTAAGGGTCATTTTATTCAGTTATGAGGCGTCTTTTACCCTGGACGGTGTAAATAATTTACGAAATGTGCATATGTGGTCCCATAATAATCCACATGAGATAATGGAAACGAAATTCCAAAAGAGATTTTCCGTGAATATACGTTTAATACAGTTATGTGGTCGGCTTATAGCGCAGTCAGCCATGTTACGTCAGCGCTTGCCAGTCATGTGTCATGTATAGTGCTTGGAAACATAAGGACAATTATGACATTGCGAGCGAGTATTTTTTACTTAAATTCTATGGCTTCATGTCGCTCACAAGTTAGTTTGATGTTACGTACATTATTAACATTACAGAAACCACATATTCCTGCCAGTTTTAATATGTATTTTGTAATCAACAAGTAACACCGGTCAAAGTTTCAAACTTCTCTGGCCATTATCTCCGTAACCGTTCAACTTTGGACGTAGGTGTTTTGGGTTATATCGGCATACTTTAACATAAGGAACACCCTCCCTAAGTTTGGCACATTCTTCCTGGGACACTCTGTATAAAAATTCAGGCCGTATCTCGCAGGAAACACATTACGTCTCTGTTACAAAGCCCAACCAGTTAATGCTGTGTAGGGAAACAGTCGCTGTTTATTGTGAGAACCATACGGAACACACAGATACACTCTGTGGGCATAACGCAGAGTTACTATTAAAGTAGGTGGTATATATAGCAACCGGTGGGTTTTAAACGGTTAATTACTGTTCAGGGGAAGCATCGCTTTTAATCTCAGATATTAGGAAGGGCACAAGGCACTGCGTGACCAGGACGCTGAGTTTTTCTTTGTTGAAACAGGCGGTACTTGTGGCAATCACTTGCTTTTAGGGGTTAACATGTTGCTTTTCTTTCCTTGCAGGAAATTTAGGATAGCCAGAGACTTGCCAGAGTTTGACCCAAGAGTAAAGTGCAACAACCTGCAGAAGGCATCCATCAGACGGTGCAGGGTAGAGCCTGACGTCGCGCTATCCATCACGCAGAATCCCAGCACCTGTATCCAGAACACAAGCAATGTGTGCGATTTATCACTCCTAAGCAAAACATGCCCTACTTCTCTGACTGAAAGGAAGGCAAAGCTTCAACATAATGAGACATCCGCCGTGCTACAGGATACACCGTGAACAGTTGAAAACATATCAGAAACTTATTTCCCTTCGCCCTCACCACCAAATTCAATAGGGATAATATATACCAGCAAAAATAGCGGTTTATTTTTTATACATAAAATATATTAGGAATCTCTGAAATTGATTCTCATAACAGCAAAATAAAATAAAATATGCAAGAATGTGTCAATGGAAGTTTGGTGAATTTTCTTCGATATTTATTTACATGTTGATTGAAGATAAATGAACGTATTTGGGTTAAAATGGATAATTCACAGTGTCTTGCTGTTTAAGAGTAAAGAGGGAACTAGGAATCCGGCGTGTTTAAGTGGGAGCGACAGAATATCCGATTTTGTCTCAGAGGACAGAATGCGTCTGCTTATCAGAAGCACAGGAAAGAGCGCCATCTTTTGGTGATCACATAAATCTTCAATTTATGTTCATTACGAATTAATGCCTAAAACTGAGTGTGGCAGGAAACGCGTGTGTCACAGTGAAAGATATTAATGTGATTTGAAATATCATCAGTCAGACTAGACGTTTAGAAGTGCGTTAGCTGTTTGCACTGACAGCTGAGCTCAGTTTTCGTCATAACAATTTCAACAATGATGATTCCTTATTAACGAGTCGAGCGCCGTTTCCATGACGACAATGAGCACGACCTGGTACTCCGTAGATGACATGGCAGTTACAGCTGAGAATATTACCTTCAGTAGCGCCTCGACTCCCGTCGATGGCGTCACGCGCTCACAAGACGCCTCAGCGTGGGTGGCGGAAATGTGGAATTTGACCGCTACGAACTCTAGCGATGGCAACGTCACTGATATGCCCCACTGCGATACTGACAAACCGGTCCTTATTATCATCACACAGGTAACAAATCTTTCCTCCCCTATTTGCTGGGTAATATAAAGGCCTTGATGAATGAGGTTTATAAGGAGGCAGTGGTGGCCTATTTTAAAGCATTATTCCGGCGTTCACTAGGAAGAGTTGGAGGAAAATTGTCTAAACTTTGGTTAAGAAATTAAGTCACTCGGTTGAAATTCGTATTCAGTGACTCCTTAACAAAGTTCGGAGTGGCACACGTACACTCGCTATATCAGTAGTGCTGTAAAAACTGTAAAGCTATCCCTGTAACAGGCCGTGGAGGCCCATAGGGTTGTGAGACTCACAGATGGCGGTGACTTTTCAGCCTTACGCGACGGACGCCCTTTATTTTCCAGGAAGATTCCTGGTACTCGTTTCTATTAGAGCCTGAGCCGACCCCAGGGCCATAGTGCGGCTGGAAGGATTAGGGCAATTGAAAATTCCAGTGGCCTCATTATGAATCGAACCCGCGACCTTCCGATTTGTAGCATAGTGCCTCAACCAACGACGCTACCGCGTGCCCCTGTCAATTATAAGCGTAAATCAGTGCCACTTTGCTAAGTTTTCTTAATAAATAGACCGGGTTCAAACCTGTTTCGTAAGAACCAACACACCAAGCAGTTTAGCGTAGCGGTATTTTTTATTGCTAGTGAGGTGGGACTAAGTCCCGTGTACTGCAGCTACTTCTGGCCTATTGTACCAGCCCCAGATGATAGGTGAGGGTGATTGTGGAGCAATTGGTGGAATGAAGATTGGCAGGGAAAACCGAAGTACTCGGAGAAAACCTGCCCCAGCGCCACTTTGTCCACCACAAATCCCACTTGACCAGACCCGGGATCGAACTCGGGCCGCCGCGGTGGGAAACCAGAGACTAATCGCTTGAGCTATGGCGCGGCCAAAGCATAGCGGTAACTCTGTGGTCTTGTATCTGAGATGTGATCACACAACTTATCAGCCAGGGCACTGGATATACTGACTGTTTATCGTCATTTTCCTCAGTTCCTCCAGGCAAATTCCGAGTAGTGCCTCTCGTAGGCCGTGACCGCTTCCTACCAAATCTCTTCCAATTCATCCGGCACTCTGTACTTCAGATACTGACAATATTAAGCGACTAAAATGGGGTGTCAATATTTTATGTGCCATCATCAGGAATATTATATAATGCTCCTTTATTATTCTACAGAAAGTTGTATTGACAGTGTATCAGCCCGTGTCCATCTGGTGGCAAGATAATTAACTTAGCAGTTCATACTAGAAGCAGCAGATGGAATTGACTGAAAAGTTACGTGAAGGCTAGCACAAAGAGCATTCAAATGTCACTGGGAAATTGTTAAAAACAGACTTATTGAGAAAAATCTAGCCTGGAAAGGCAGCTACATTTATGCTGACGTGCTAAACGTGACAGAATGACAGCTTACGATAACTGGTGCCACTACCAAAATGAATTTATTTTTCGGCAATTGTGAACATTGTAATACCGACTGGAGCATAACTTCCACTGCTGCCATCTTACGATTCTTTTCATAACTACTTGCTAACAAGGATATGATACACATACCACAGCAGAATATGAAATTAGTTATAGGTCCTTCAATAATTTGTACTTATCCATTCTGTAAGTAGCCGATGCAATTGGTACAGGTGCTGTACAGCTTGGTGTGCCTGGTGGGATTGCTAGGCAACACGCTCGTCATCTACGTGGTGGTTCGTTTCTCCAAGATGCAAACCGTCACCAACATGTACATCGTGAATCTGGCCGTGGCGGACGAGTGCTTCCTTATCGGCATTCCCTTTCTGCTCACAACAATGAGCCGGCAGTCCTGGCCCTTCGGGAACTTCATGTGCAAGGCCTACATGACCACAACCAGCATCAACCAGTTCACCAGCTCCATCTTCCTTACCATCATGAGCGCTGATCGCTACATCGCTGTGTGCCACCCCATCTCTTCGCCCAAGGTCCGCACCCCTCTCATCAGCAAGGTAAACAGCGGCTCAGGAGAGCTCAACTTACCTCTCTTATAGGTTCAGGAAGCTGTGGAGGGAAAACGTACCCTAACAAAGTAATTTCACAGTCATTTTCACAATCTATGGGTATGTTCTTCAACATAATTGTGTCATCACATTCCAGGACGAAAAGATCGTGGCACTTATAGTCAGCAAGTCTTGTAGTGGTCACATTCTGGAACAAAAGTACTTGCCAAGGTTGCAGCCACAGTTTGGCTTGGTCACATGCCTGTAAATGCAATTGTTCCGTGGTTAAATAAGGTAAAGCTATCCTTCTAGCAGGCCGTGGAGGCCCAAATGTTTGTGAGACGTCGAGGCTCCCACATTTTCTAGACAATCGGCTCACAGATGGCGGTGAGGTTGTCAGCCTTACCCGCTGGCCGCCCTTTACCTCCCAGGAAGATTCCTGGTACTCATTTCTCGTTAGAGGCTGAGTCGACCCCAGGGCTATAGTGCGGCTGGAAGGATTAGTCCAATTGAAAAATCCAGTTACCACATTGGGACTTGATCCACGATCTTCTGGCTAGTAGCACAGTGCCTCAACCAACTACGCTACCGCGTGCCTCCTCCATGATTGAATACATGTGAAAACGTCATCTATTGTATGTGTAAGATGCATATAAGCGGCAAGTTACTGGTTGCATGATGTGCAGAAGGATCTCAGAGTTGTACAAAATTGGATTGTATGCTAACTCTGGTTACTTGTGAGTTTCCGTATTCTTTATAAAAATGCTTTGAGTTCCCGCTCGAGAATTTCTGTGCCTCGGAGCGTGCAGACTGGGTCAGTCTACAGCCACCTGATCGTTCTCGTTCCTCGCTCGCGGATTTCTTCTTCTACCCTGAAGATGGAGGCCATACGTTCCTCCGAAACGTCGGTTTACATAATATCTACACGGCGCCACATCTCAAAAGACGGCATTCTTCATAGTCACCGCAGTGCAAAACCTCAAATCTTACATTCAGTTACATTTGTCAGCATTTTCTAGTTTTGGTTAAAATGGGACAGAATTAATGGGCATGAAGACGTGTAGAGGCGTCTAAATTTTATTGAACTGAGGAAAAGCACGTTTAGAATAATCATTGTGGTGGAAAATGAAAGATATGTTGTATGTCCTGTAAACAGTTGCTGCAAATTTTGCAGTTTTCAAGATAACTAGCGGAAATTGAACGAATACAATGCGTAAATTGCCTAACTTAGGCATGGGACTGTGATAAGTAGTCACATAAATAAAGAAGAAGATTACCAAAGCCCTTATTCTTGTTAATAATTAAACTAACCTTCCTTTCTTCCAAATTTATAGGTCTGCATATTTAATGGAAATATAATTGAACTTCCTGCTAAAACCATTACTTTATTAACATTTAAAAAGTTACTTTACTTCGATATAATTGAAGATGAGGCAGTAATGAGCCGGAATTGTTCTGCTATGCATACATTTCCTAACTTGTTTCCGGTCTTACAAACTAAACAGCTGTAGGTTCTAAACACACACATGACACTAATAAACTGCAACTATACAAAATTTGGTCATGTGGACAGATAGAATAAAGAGTTTAATTTTTATAATTAGTACAACAAATAAATGTTATGGGAGCTGGGATAGCCCAGTCAGTATAGTGGGTACACTGCTGGCTGGGAAACCGAGGAGTCAGGGTTTGATACCTGGAAGTACCAAGACTGGACTCTCATCTGGTGAGCACCAGCGGATTTTCCCCACGGGTAAATTTACCAGGACAGGAAGCTCACCGCTCACCTCCATCTATTGCCGAAGTTAAATATGTATGGAGCTATACGTCCACTTCACCTTACTTCTTCATGGAATGGTACTTAATGAAGCACAAAAACATGTTTACCTTTTACTCAATTTTGGCAATTTGTTTCGAGAAGTTACGAAAACTGTTACTTCACTGTTCCTCCTCTAAGCATACATCTTCCTTTGCGATATTTATCTCTACGTCAACTGTACAGGCAGTCATAAAAACTTTAGAGCCTGTAACTTTCATGAACTTGGTAACACATCAAAGCATGTATTCGCATTTTATTTACTTATTTATGGTTACTTTAAAGAGACTGTCAGTGGGTGGCTACAGCATCGAACAATAGCAGGATTCATGAGTAGTGACTCGGAGAGGTTGCGAAAGGCAGCAGAGCCTAATTCGAGATACTGTCTTGACATATTAAACTGAAGGGGCTATTACCATACTATATTCAGTCACGACAATCGATCCCTGAAACATATTTGAACCCAGAACACCATGCATATAAAATAGAATACTGTTCTTTCATCCGTGACGTCCTCTGCACAGAAACGGAACTTCCACAGTTTCTTTGATGAACAAAAATATTGGTGTGACCCCGCACTAAATTATTTTGTTATTGCTAGTGGGGTGGGACTAAGTCCCTTGTACTGCGGCCACTTCTGGCCTATTGTACCAGCCCCAGATTATAGGTGAGGGTGATTGTGGAGCAATTGGTGGAATGATGATTGACAGGAGAAACCGAAGTACTCGGAGAAAACCTGGCCTAGCGCCACTTTGTCCACCACAAATCCCACTTGACCGAACCCGGGCCGCCGCGGTGGGAAGCCAGCGACTAACCGCTTGAGCTAGGGCGCGACCCGCTAGCCGCACTAAATTAACGAGCACGTGTCGCTTTCCTACCGCATTCCCGGGAATTGCGGCATTGAAAAGAGATTTCAAAACACACAGAGTGACATTAGAAAAGTCTGTAACATGTCATCTGTGATTCTCTAATGTTTTCATATATGTATTTATTTTTCTCTGTCTTATTTTGTATCTCTTTGTTCCATTGCTTTGCGTGCTTTGGTTTTTCTGCCTCCTATTTCCACATTTTTTGCTTTAATTCCATGCTTTTCCCCTTCTATATGAATAAATATAGACGCGAAGTCTTTGTGCACCCCTTCCAGGTAGTGAGTCTGACGGCATGGACGGCCAGCGCCTTGCTGATGGTGCCGATCTTCATGTACGCTAGCACAGTGGAGCGCGAGCCGACGTCCACGTCTTGCAACATCTTGTGGCCGGAGAGTGAACATATCAGTGGGCAGGCAGCCTTCACTCTCTACTCCTTCATCCTGGGTTTCGCCATTCCACTCCTGCTCATCTTCGTGTTCTACTTCCTCGTCATCCGCAAGCTGAAAACTGTGGGGCCCAAAAACAAATCGAAAGAGAAGAAGAAGTCTCACCGGAAAGTGACCAAATTGGTGCTCACCGTGATAGCTGTCTACGTTCTCTGCTGGCTCCCCTACTGGATCACCCAGGTGAGCCATTCTTCTGTACTCATTTGATGGTGCAGAGGTGGTTGCGTGGTGATGACGTAATTTGTACTGTCTCAGAATTTGCCTGGAGGGACGGGGGTAATCAGGGAGAGACATCAGCCAGCACAGACTCTCAACAACCAAGATTCGAACCTGGTACCTACAGATGCTTTACTGTGTTCTACTTCACAGCATTTTCTTAACAGCCCTGATCATATAGCCTTCATTGAGTGGCTGATGGCTGGTGAACTCAAAGGGACGCAAATTTTATTGTGACTGACTTTTTAGTTCACCCACTCATGGAGCTGAGCCCTTCTTGAGAAACCGCCAATTCTGCAGCCACTCAAGAACTCCCCAGCGTTTTGTGGAACTCGAAGGTTCATTACCGTGTTCACAAGAGCCTTCCACTGGTCCCTTTCCTGAATCAAATCAATCCAATCCATACCAACCCATCCTATCTCTCTAACATCCATTTTAATATTCCCCACCCACCTACGCCTTGGTCTTCTCAGTGATCTCTTTCTTTCTGGCTTTCCCACCAATATCCTATATGCATTCCACCTCTGCCAATTCGTGCTACATACCCTGCCCATCTCATCCTCCTTGACTTGATCATTCTAATTATATTTGGAGAAGAGTACAAGTTATGAAGCTCCTCATTATGCAGTTTTCTCCAACCTCCTGACACTTCATCTCTCTTCGGTCCAGATATTCTCCTCAACACCCTCAGTCTGTGTTCCTCCCTTATATGACTTTTTAGTTACTTTCTGGAAATATAAGATGATAATGCGGGAAGCTGTGAGGTGTTACGATACGTGGACAGTAACAGGAAATTCAGTAATAATGTTACTCGCCCTTATGCACTTGTGTGGTGGCATGTTACTACAGCATGACATTCTAATTACAATGTTGTAAGCCGTAGCTCAGTGGTTAGTATGGCTCATGTTTCAGATTATGTTTTTTGAGTTGAGACCCCAATAGTCTTGAAACAGAATACCCACATTTGGAGAAACACTCTGCCTCCATCTTCAGGACATATATTCATTCATGTGAGAGGGGTAAGGGGGTAATGGGAAAGACAGAGAGTGATAAAATTCACATTCAGACATGATTTTCATAAATTCTGCCTACAAGACCGACTAAAAAAATTCACAGTCTGAATAATAACCACTATGAAGACATCAATCTGTTATCATGGAATTTATGTTTCGGCAGGTGGCGCTGATATTCACCCCTCCGAACGTATGTCAGCCCATGATCAGCTTCACCATCTTCTTGTTCGCTGGGTTCCTCAGCTACTCGAACTCTGCCATGAACCCGATCCTGTACGCTTTCCTGAGTGACAACTTCAAGAAGAGCTTCCTCAAGGCCTGCACATGCGCGGCGGGGAAGGACGTGAACGCCACACTGCACATGGAGAACAGTGTGTTCCCTCGACGCCACCATCGGCAAGCAGGCTCAGAGCGACTCAAGCTCCCTCTGGGAGGACAGGGGGGGATGGGCGGCAAGAGCGCTACCTCCGGCGATGATGACGGCGAGCGGGGACCTCTGGTCAGCAAGGCTGACCACTCCACAACCGCCATCACCATGACGTCACGATCCAACATCACCGTCAGCAGCGACACCAGGGATGCCGCAAGTAGGGACACAGGCTGCAAGGAGACAGTGCTAAGAAACGGACAGGAGCCAACACAAGTATAGATGGTAACAGTGCTCAAGGTTCTCGTGATGAATGTCTTTCATTTCAAAAAATTGACCCCATATCATTCAAGCAAGCATATGCCAGTGTGTGAGAGTCATGGTCCTTTGACCAGCTTGGTATCGCTTCAGGCATGGCACCATTCAGTTCTGATCCAGTTTTAAAGTAGCAAAAACTGGCTTCTATAAAAGAAACAGGTTGCTGTGTTTTTAATTATGTGTTACAGTCTCCAGCATTCAAGCAGATTAGTGGCATAGGCTGTCTGTACCCTGCAGACAAATTGCTATATCGTAGCTTGGATCGTTAGACATTGGTTCCTCATGATGAAGTCCCAGGTTCATCCCAGGATCATCCATTAAGACATATGGTGGACAAAGTATCACTAAGACAGAGCCCCCACTTGATATTTCATTTTTCCCCTACATGTCACCATTAGATCAATGTTCTTCACTCATCCGTTTCTGAAGTGTGTAAGATAAAAATAACCAGTCAACACGTTATCACATTCTTTGTCCCTGAACCTTTGCACAGCACAAGCGAATTAGCCTCAGAATACCTGCATTCGAACTGCCACAGCTGAAGAAATTGTCTCGTTGTTAATCAGTTGTTACAGCATTTCTGTCAATAAATGTCATCAAGTTTGACAAACTGATTTTTAGAGAAAAGAACAAGCTTTCATGTGACCTAAACCTATGGCTGTCTGAAGGTCATTTGAGGAAATATGGTGGATTTTTCTGTGTAACTGCATTTGCTTGCAGGCATGCTTGTAATTTCTAATAGGTATACTAACATGGTTTGGCTGTCAGAGGGTTAATTGGGTCTTTACCTTTGACTCAGCACTAGGCTGGACTCATGATAAAATAGTTATATTATTATTCGTTGTTTGTTTTGTTTTATAAAAATTTGAAGAAGTTGATGGCTCCATTAGAGACATTTCTACATATTTTGTTATATTTGAATTATCTGATACTGATGTAATCAATCAAGTTCCTATATCTTCATATATTCTTTGCAGTTTAAACATAGGGACAGATTTGATCACAGAATAAAGAACATAGAGTTGGTGCATCTTCTTTTTCTGTTTTCAAATCCTTACCAGCTCTTTCATCTCTCTCCTTCATATTTTCTAGTGCACCGATGAACTATTTTTTATGGGCCTTTCCATATGTCTCTCTGCATTATAATTTACTTGAAAAGCCCTCCTTTCTATTTTGGTCCTATCAGTTTTTCTACTTGTCCAACCCACTGTAATCATATCTCTCTTAACTCTACTAAAAGAATCATGAGTTATAAGTTCTTCTCTAACCATTCTTGTTGAAATCTTATTCCTTCTTTTCTTACCCTCTCTACTCAAGTTTAATAGCGATTGTTTTCATTGTGTTTATGTTTCTCTTTGTAAAAACCCTTGTTTCTACGCTATACATTAGTAAGAGTAAAGTAAAGGTATCCCTGTAACAGGGCGTGGAGGCCCATAGCGTTGTGAGACGTTGAGGTTCCCACATTTTCTAGACAGTCAGGTCGTATCAGTCTAAATATGTTTTACAGATTGTTGTTTTCCATTGTTTTGGAATATGTCTGTTGCATAATATTCCTATTATAATTTAATAAAATGTAGAGATATTTTGCGTTCTCCTATGGATCTCTGTCAAATTTCCCGCTTTATTTTACTTCGCTGTTATTGCACTTAAATATACATACAAATGGATTGCACCAGTGTACAAGCACTGTTAAAATTAACACATTTTCATTTTATCAGTACATATGACATGATCTGCAATTAACACTTCCTGCCTGTGTGAAGATATTCAACCCTCAAAGTTCCAGTGCCAATCTCAGTCCAACAATCATGGGAATCATGTGTGGGCCATTATCATGCTGAATTTGACAATCCTGACTTTATTACGTGTAATTTCTATAGCGATTTGTCATGTGTTCAAATAAACTGGCTGTGAAGGGAAGGATTGTCTGTTGGGTTATATTCAACATCAGAGAAATCAAGGTTGTGATAGATCTCTGCATATGACACTTGACTCAGCTTCCAGAGGTTCTGAGTTCAATACGTGGCCAGATCTGTGAGCAGATACTTCTGCTGAACCCTTCACCTCTAGCAGAGATAAACTTTGGGAATGTGAGGAACACAGCTTCACTCTGTGGTTGGGAAGGAATGTTAAGATTGAAATCTCTTCTGCTGATCATCATTCCTGGTTCACCCTGTCTTCTGGGGTAAAAGAAATCGCCTTGTGGCTGCCCCCACCTCAGAACATAAGTCTGTGCCCTTTCTTAGATGCATACAAGCTATAGAGATCAAATAGTTTAGCATTTCCAAAAGTTGGAGTCATGTTTCCCCAGGGAGTGTGAAGATTTCTTCCAGAGGCTATCAAATATGCTAGTAGTGTAAATATCATAGCATATAAATTGTTAAGAAAAGGTCCCATTAAATTACATTCATTACAACAGAAAAAGTACTTCATAGATACAGTTAAGGTTCATTGTAAACTGCTTTTTAATTGCTAAATCACATTTTTTTAAGTTAGTTTATGTAGGTTGGGGAGCCTCACATATTTTCATTCACAACACAGGAGCCTCAATATAAAAGAATTTGGGAACCAATGGAATAGACTATACCTGGAAGCACTAGAAATCAACCAAGATACAAAAATCATATTGGAATGAGTTTAATGTTCTCTTTTTGTCCAGCCCATAATCTAGTCACCTTGTATACTGAGTCATGCTGACCCAATGCCGAATTAACATTTCTCGTCCTGCATTGTGACAGCTAATGATTATTTTCATACAGGTGTGTCTATCGTGCTAGTAGTCAGATTATCATGCTGCTATGGTCTCCTAATTGTCTGTAGCCGACAAAACCTTCCTCGACTCTATGTCATGAACTTTAAATTAATTAACGTTCTGTAAAAGATATTCATTTGACTGGTGTATTATTGCTGTTAATGTGGTATGTATATTTTTAGAATATGTCATTGCATGGAAAGATAAGTTCATCTATGTCAATTGGGCAGAAAAAGAAACAAGCAAATTATGCAGGGTAATTAAAAGGAAAACTGATTATTGTGAAACTTTCTTATTGTAAAATATGTACATGGCAAAAATGCTCAGATACCTTCCATTTTAACTATACAGTATACCTAATAAGTTTTATAGTTATAACAGTATATTGTGAAAATGTACGGGTTAAATTTATTTAATTCACTTGGAAAAAGTAAAGATATATTTCGTGATGTTTGTATCACATGGCTGAATGACCATATTTGTGACAATTGCAAATGGTTGCATCAGATTCATTCTGTTCACACACTTCCTTTCCATAATCATCAGTCCTTGGTGAAGAGTCTTGTGGGGTGCGTATTATGATAAACTGAACTTGCCTTTATCATTTTTAATAAATGCATCATATCAACGAATGGTGAAGAGATTTGAACTGACAGATATTGTGTGTGTGCTCATGATTGTGAAAAGCAAGAACAGTGAAATGTCTCAGACTTTCTTCTGCCCATGAACTAGAAGAAAAGAAAAAACACAGGGTATTCCCACTGATAAATTACAATCCATCAAACTTATTAACTTATACAAATGAATTTGAGACAGTTGCAAATATAACTTTTGAAGTTTATCAAGAACCTATGTGTAAAGGCCTATATTCATTTTCTTTTAACCCTTAATGGACCAGTTATAATTCCTGCAGTGCCAAGTCACCATTTTGGACTGTCAGATGTGCTCTTATTTTATGGACGAGTAACATATATGAAAGCCTAGTAAGAACTCGAAACAGAAGGGAATAATTCATTCCCAGTTTTTTGTGACTGTATCGATCAGATGTCATATGCTGCCAGGTGTACAGACAAGGTCAATGTTGTCAACATTTTGCACTTCAAGGGTTAAAATGCCAACACAGAGACCATGTTTCCTACAGGTCAGTTTTCTTGTAGTGGAGGTTTATACCATTATGTCACTCTCATGTCTCCATCACTGGACACTGAAAGATTTATATTGCATTGAAATGTGTGTTGTTCTGTGTGAACACAGGTTCTTACCGACTTGTGTAAAGTTGATATTATTATGAAGCTGCATCAGGAATGCTACATCTCAAGCTATGATCTGTAACCAACTAACGAATTACACAATATGTTCACTGTGTCAATCCTAATGTCTACATTGTCCACTGCATGCAGCACCTAAATTCAGAATGAAATATGACTGACAAGATTTCTACTTGAGCCCATGAAATCTTGTTTTCATATCTCATACAGAATGTGTGTTCACTCAGTTAAGAAACTGTGGTCTTGTGATCCCAGTCAATTGCAGGTGACTGCACTCATGTACATTGTGATGTGTCACAACAGCTCGCTGGCCGTGTTTGGCCGCGAGTAAAACCGCAGAACAACAGAAATGTAAAGAATGCCTGTAATTTTTGTAAATGTTTTGTGTGTAATCACCTATTTTTGTACAGATATCACAGTAATAGCAAGCTACACCTTTTGGAAGTGTCTGACAAGTTGTGTATAATTTTTCTGTTTGTGTGGGTGTGTACAGTCTAGGCACAATAAAGGTCACCCAGTGATGACTGCTGCAGACTGTCCAACGCCTCCCTTGTTGTCTGTCTGTGCATTGCAGTATGTTATGTGAGTGTCTGGTTTGTTACAGCCTCATGTTCAGTCATTGTAACTCAATACCCAGAAACCATTTTGTTGTACGTATGATGTATCCAGCTGGTAAGTTTATTGAAAATGGGAAATAAAGTGTTACTGAACTTCAGACATTGATATAGGCTCTGAGGATCTCATGGCTGTGGCCATGAAGGACATATCACCTGGGATACAACAGAGTGTAGTCTGTTGAAAGTCAACCAATGTTCCGGAGGAACATACTGGCTCCAATTATAAAAGACAAGTCCGTCCAATGTGACTATTTCAGTTTTCTCACTTGATGACTCACTAGCCTTACATGTTTCGATCCATTTGGATCATTTTCAGAGGCACCAAACACTTTTTAGAAACCACTATCACAACAGTTGTCAGTGGTTTCTAAAAAGTGTTTGGTGCCTCTGAAGATGATCCAAATGGATCGAAACATGTAAGGCTAGTGAATCATCAAGTGAGAAAACTGAAATAGTCACATTGAATGGACTTGTCTTTTATAATTATAACTGTTAGTGTGACGGACCAAAATGAAACAAATCAAATACTGGCTCCATATTCAGGGTGGAAGAGTAAGTTCTGCTTGCCAACTATTTCACATTTGTTTCCTGCTTGGCACTTTCTTCGGCCCTGAATATGAAGGTGGTACATTCCTCCAAAACGTCAGTTGACTTTCAATGAGCTATCTCAGAAGACAGAAGTACAGTTATAAATGAATGCATAAGATGTGGTCATCAGGTGTCAGAATATAACTCAGGACATTTTTGTTCATATACACAGTTTATTTAATTTTCAAGTATTTTTTTTTATTGCTAGTGGGGTGAGACTAAGTCCCTTGTACTGTGGCCACTTCTGGCCTATTGTACCAGCCCCAGATGATAGGTGAGGGTGATTGTGGAGCAATTGGTGGAATGAAGATTGGCAGGGGAAACTGAAGTACTTGTAGAAAGCCTGCCCCAGCGCCACTTTGTTCACCACAAATCCCACTTGACCAGACCAGGGATCGAACCCGGGCCGCCGAGGTGGGAAGCCAGCGACTAACTGCTTGAGCTATGGCACGGCCTCAATTCTCAAGTAAGGGGCCCTATTGACTATAGTGAAGTATTTCAGTATTTACTATCTGTCGACAGCTGGCTGGAATTGGACATCTTATGATGAAGCCTTCGATTCGAGACCCACCTTGTGTTTGCTGTTACTGTTTTCTTTACTGTAACAGGGATACAGGTTTGTAAAACCTGCAACACTCAAGACAATAACAGATACAAATTAATTCTTCCCATCCATATAAAACTCATTTCTATTCTAAAAGACTAGTTATTTAGTGATATAAAAGAAAATGATTTGCTTAACCTAGCTTCCAATGCCAATCATAAACGAGCTCTATGAGGGAATGTCAGTTTGAACTGTGTGGTACATATAGCGCCGATCAAAGGCATGAATTTTCTTCACCCACGCGAACACTAAGAACATGAGTTCGATTCCCACTCGAGACATGGATGTCTGTGTGCGTTATTCTGTTTTTATGCTGTCCTATGTATATGTAGTGGCCTTGAGATTGGCTGATCCCTCATACAAGGAGTAGTACCACTTATGTATATGTTTACGGAACTGAAAAAGCGGTAAGGGCCCAACAAAGGGCTGTAGAGCCATTGATGAATGAATGGAACATGTGGTCTGAGGTGATGTTGATTAAATGCTTTAGACTTTGTTTATATTGGAGTTTTGAGACCAAAATCCAGAGTCCTATCAGACTGGACACTTCTAGCCTCCCAAACATTGTCCTCTGTACGTGTATATGCCCCATTCTGTTGATTAACGTTTCCCCATTTGACTGGCAAACAACAAGTGCTTTGTTATGGAGAGCCATCATAACGCCTTCCCCATGTGGTGTGATGGCACACAGTTACTCTACCGTGCTCTGGAAACTTGGACCATGCAGATCTGAGCAGGAATCGTACCATGTCATTACTAATTCCATACATACAGTAAAACCTCCCTACTCTGGAGTAATTGGAGGGGGGAGAGTCATCCCGATTAGCGAAGCAAAAGTAGCCCTAAAAAACAACAAATAAATTAAAATGTAATGTTATAAACAGTGCTACTGAACATAAATAACAAAATATCGCAGTAAAGCCTTTATTTAAAAACTATAAAAAGACAATATATTTATTCCTCGATAGAAGACTCCGAAGTTACACTTGTTACTCAACGTTATAATGCAGGTTTGAAGAAACCGTGAAGTTTTGTCTGAACAGATAAGTGACTCAGCTGCCTTCCTAAATGCTCCATGTCATTTAAGGTATGTACTCAACAATGAATAACATTTTTCGTCGGGATTAGCGAGTGTTCATACAAGTGAAATGTAACAATGAGATGAAAGCTCTGAAATTACACAACCTGGAGGTATTATACAAACAAATTGTCAAACGTTAATGCTCGTTGCCTGAACGTAAGTTATGCTTTAGGTCACCAACGAGCGAGACGTGATTGTGAAGACATTCTGGCCAGTGTCGAGAATTGAACCCCGACCGTAGGTTATAAGTGACCGAGAAAAGTCTATGCATATATACTACAGAACTGGAGGTGTGATAACTCAGAATATTGACAAGGATGCGCTCTGGTCAACCGAGAAATCGGGGTTCGATTCCTGACAGGAGCAAGAGACTTATTTTTTCAACACAGCGTTCAGACCCGCTGTGGAGTTCACCCAGCCTTCTGCCCAGTGAATAAAAACATAAAACTATCCCTGTAACAGACCATGGAGGCCCATAGGGTTGTGAGACGTCGAGGCTCACAGATTTTCTAGACAATCGGCTCATAGATGGCGGTGAGGCTGTCAGCCTTACGCGCAACCGCCCTTTACCCCCAGGAAGATTCCTAGTACTCATTTCAGAGTCGGCCCCAAGATCATAGAGAGGCTGGAAGGATTATGTGAAATGAAAAATCCAATCACATCGGGACTCGAACCCGCGACTTTCCGGCTTGCGGTATAGTGCCTCAATGAGCTACTATACTACGTGCCTCCTGGGTGTTTGGGTTAAAACCGCCTGGAAGTGAACCAGGCCCATCTAGTGGCTTAATTTACGAAGCAGTCAGTAGCCAGACTATGCAGTGTCAGTTGAATCAAGAACGCGAAAGTATCTGAAAGGAAGCGGCGGTGGCATAATTTATGTTATATCCAAGCATTTGTCTGGAAAGACTGAGGAAAACCTCCAGAACCTTGGGATAGCTGGTGTACTGGCTGGGATTCGAACCAAGCACCCCATGAATAAGAGTCTAGAACATTATCGCTAGACCAGTCTGCTCTGTCTACCTTCATCTAGTGTCAAGGTTAAGAATATATGGAGCTGTACTCCACTCCCTCCTATGCTTTCATGGCATGATACTTAATCAAGCACAAGAAAAAATGTAATTTTAATTTTTTTTAATTGGCAGTCCAGGTTAGTCTACTTGGCATGTCGGTCGCTGATTGGCCTATTGTACCTACACCGGATGATTATGATGATGGAGAATTTGGTGGAATAAAGACTGGTAGGGAAACGGAAGTTCTCGGAGAAAAACTGCCCCAGTGTCACTTCATCCACCACAAATCTCACTTGACCAGACGCGGGATCGAACCCGGGCCGCCACGGTGGGAAGCCAGCGACTAACCGCTTGAGCTATGGCACGGCATAAAAATATAATTTAGTTTACTACACCTAGGCCGAATCATTCTTAACAGGTTTAGTAACTTATTTAGAAAGTAACTCGCTGTCTGGGTGCACGTGTATGAAACGCTATTAGCGGGCATCTTACTGTCCGTATGCATACACAGATATATGCTTTATGACTGTCTTGAGTAGATAAAGGTCACGAACCCAGCACCTCTTAACGGAATGATGGAAAATGGGAACAGGGTGCGAGCTTTTGTGAAACTGGTGATGAACTTTCACCTTCGGTAAAAGCGAGTATTATTTTGGCGTTACGAATAATTTGCCTCTGTTATAGAAGGATCCTGTACTGGATGAAATAGCGTAGATCACGTGAGTACTCCTGCGTCACGTGAAATCTATAATTATCTCAATTTTTCCTTAAATGAGGTTCCTAAGTTCCACCCCTCTGGGACAATTCTATCGTTACTCTACAAGTTAAATAAATTTATTCAACGAGCTTTCGTCTGCAGAACCTTCTAGAGTCAAACACAAGGGCCGTAAGCTGGGGCTGCAAGGCGTTTATGAAGAGCTCAATGGGATGGAATGAAAACCGTGTAATCGTACGGACGGATATTACAGTCAAGTCTGGAAGCCCTTGTGTTCAGACTCAGGTCACTCCCAGTGAAGATATATATATATATACATATTAGTTTTTCTACGCGCTATTCAGCAATTTTGATAAATTTAAAGCAGTTAGGACTGGTAAAATTAAGAGGAGACTGAGCTCGCGTAATGCTTGCTACCATTCAGTCCAGAACCTTTTGTCTTCTCGTCTGCTGTCCAAAAACAAAAATTAGAATATGCAAAACTATAATTTTGTCTGTGGTTTTGTGTGGGTGTGAAACTTGGTCTCTGACATTAAGGGAGGAACACAGACTGAGGGTGTTTGAGAACAGGGTGTTGAGGAGAATATTTGGACCGAAGAGAGATGAAGTGACAGGAGGTTGGAGAAAACTGCATAATGAGGAGCTTCATAACTTGTACTCTTCTCCAAGTATAATTAGAATGATCAGGTCAAGGAGGATGGTGTGAGTATGTCATGTAGCATGAATTGGTGAGAAGAGGAATACATATAGCATATTGGTGGGAAAGCCAGAAGGAAAGAGACCACTGGGAAGACCAAGACGTAGGTGGATGAACAATATTAAAATGGATCTTAGATAGATATTATGGTATGGATTGGATTGATCTGGCTGAGGATAGGGACCATTGAAGGGCTCTTCTGAACACGGTGATGAACCTTCGGGTTCCATAAAATGCTGTGAAGTTCTTGAGTATCTGCACAATTGGCAGCTTCTCAAGAAGGGCTCAGCTCCATGAGAGACTGAGGTCTTGGAATCGAGTTACTGACAAACATACACTCGTATTTCATTTCGTTATGTCTTCTTTCTGTAAGTCATTTGATCTTGAACTGTACTGGTCATTT